TGTCTGATGACGAATTTCCCCACGAATCATTATCACTCAATTCTGCAAGTGGTTCTAATTTACTATCGCTGTTCTCTAGCTGGTCTAAAACCACTTTTGACCTAAAGGGATGCTTTTTGGACGCCATGGACTTTTCTCAGTTTCAAGGCAGAAAGAACAGTAAAAATGCAGGCAGGGCACAGGACAAAGCACTCAGGACAAAATGTATGTGAAATGGTTTGATACAGTAATGTTTTACTATGTGATTTTAGTGAATTTAGTGAATGTCACTTTTAAAATTTTAAAATTTCCTGCGAGTTCCGTCCCCCGTACGTCCCAGCGTCACAGGGAACGGAACCCAGAAGACAGATGCCGGCATCGGCCGGAGGACATTGCTGGGGACACTGCAGGAGGGACATCGCGGGAGTGCAGGACAAGGTAAGTGAAGAAGAGATCCCAGAGCAGCACTGCAGGGTGTTCCCGAGTGTAGCTCAGGGTTACCGCTTGTGGTGCTGAAACTTTACCTCGAGCTACACTCAGGAATACCTCCAGGTGGCAACTGCCTGTTGCAATCATCAAGCAGGGAGAATGGAGGACAGGAGGAGTGCACATTCCTCTTTGGCCTCCTGTTGTGTCATTGGGTGAGCAGCTATCCAATTGGATGCTGCTGCCCCAGATGACCCAACGGCCATCTTTAGAGGATGGGGGACAGCAAAGGGGATGCTCATTAGTGCACCGCTGTTCTTCGCTGCTTATTGCCTACCAGCTGCCTTCTGCGTCAGGTGCTGTCAGTCTCCAAGCATCGTCTGTGAGTGTTGCCGCCAATTCTATGCTGCTGAAAAGACTGTTACTGTATGTTGGAACATTCCTGACAATACATTTTCTGCAGCTCCAACCACTATATGTGCTTTTACTTTCCCCGGGGCTGCCTACCACCTGGCCTCCCATGTGCCTGCACCCTTTCCTGTTAAAGTTTCTTCAAGCAATAAATATCAAAAAGACATTCCCTAGACTGTGTTACTGGAGCCGATGTGAATGGACTGGTGCTTGCAGTGGTGGGTGGCCTCTGTATTTTAGGGTCAGTTCACATTATTTGCATTTCAGTTGCTTTTTTTGCATCCAAAACACACAAAAAGTAGGTTATATGGTTGTCAATGTCATAGTTCGCAGCAGTGCTTGCAGTTCCAGTGCTTTCCAGTTGCAGAAAAAAAAAAATAGAACATACTGCATATTTTCTGCAGAAAACTGTACTGGAACGCACCTAAATGCTTCAAAAATGCACTGGAACACACCAAAAAACCCATGTCCATGTTCCTATTTAAATTGAAGAAAAATAGAGGGGAAAAAATGAACTAGAATGCTTAAAAAACACACTGGAACGCATCAAAAATGCATCAAAAACGCACCAGAATGCGCCAAAAACGCACATGCAAAAACACATTCAGAACGCATCTGGACTGCGTTTCTATAGAGTGCCCTTAAGAAAAAACCTGGTATCACCAGCGTTCACTTCTGGGGTAGTGCTACACTTGATATATATACTGTATATATGATACATCTTAGCATCACCAGTATCATTATACTACATTGGGTTCAATTCACTAAGAGTTAAAGAAAGACTGAAAAAATGTGGTAAAATAACGCGTGCAGTAAATCTTTTGCAAATGTTCAATTCACTAAGAATTTTGCGGTATATAACTTTTGCGGTAAAATATCAGTATTGTGGTAATTACTGCATATTTTCATAGGTTAATTATTGCACGGTAGCTGGTTGTTAAGAAAGCTGGCCACCGTGTCCTTAACAACGGATGACTCATCAGCTGTCTGCGGGTTTCCTGCTGACAGCTGAATGTAAACAAAATATGCCGACAATTAAAAATTATGAAAAAAACACAGCGTGGGGGTCCCCCCATCCATCGCAAATGGAACAGAAAGTAAAAAAAGTTGTGATATTTATCATCGGGTTTTGTTGGCGGTATCACATGCAATATTTTTTCAGATGCAGCCTGGGGGTCTCCTCCCCAATCCTTACCATGGGTTCGGGTTTGGTATGGATTTCAAGGAAAACCCCACACCAAAATGAAAAAAAAAACAGCCCTTAGATCTGGTATTGATTTTCAGGGAACCCCACACCAAAATGAAAAAAAAAAAATGGCAGGGGTCCCCCCCCCAAATCCATACCAGACCTTATGGTTTGGTATGGATTTGGGGGGGACCCCACGCCATTTTTTTTTTTAAATTCTGGCATGGGGTTCCCCGAAAATCAATACTAGCCCTGAAGGGCATGGTAAGTATTCGGAAAGGGGACCCCCACGCTGCATCTGAAAAAATATTGCATGTGATACTACCAGCAGAACCCTGATGATAAATACTGCATCTTTTTTAACTTTCTGTTCCATTTGTGAATTGGACTTAGCAGCTTACCACATGGTTTTTGCGATATTTACCAACACATTTTTCATTCTGTGTTAAATACCGCATAATCATTTGGTTTTTTTTGGTGAATTGGACATTTTTTTTACCACACGTGATAGTTTATGCAAATGAGTCATATGACCATGTTAACGCATACAGAAGCCTTTTGTGAATTGACCCCATTGTTATAAATAGGATTCCATGGCCTTTAAAGCAGAGTTCCATTCACCCCGTCAAAAAATAAAAGTCAGCAGCTACAAAAACTGTAGCTGCTGACTTTTAAAACACAACCACTTGCCTGTCCCGCTGTCCCGCGGTGTGTCCCCTGCAGCCCGTTTCACCCGGCCGTCCTGTATTCAAGGAGGCCGACATCTTCAGTGTGGGCACCTGGCTGCGACAGCTTTCGGCTTCACAGCCGGGTACCCACTGTGCATGCGCGAGTAGCGCTGCGCTTCGTGAATGGTCCTGTAGTCTTCTGGGACCTGTCACGTGTCCCAAAAGACTACAGGGAGGGAGGGAGGGAGGACACCTTCCGCTTCCAATTGCCTAGGCGATCGGACCGGAAATAGGAGCGGGTACTTGTCAAATTCGGGTACCCGCTCCCCCCCCAGCTCCCCAAAGGTGCCAATCCTTAATGGAGAGCAGGGGAGCAGTCCTTAAAGCGGAACTTCCCCTTTTGGATGGAGCTCTGCTTCAAGAGATACTTGAATGCTGTGATTAGTATGTGATGTGTTTGTGTATATAAGGACCCTCTCCTACAAGTAAGCTCTGTTGGGTGAATTGGGTCAGCTGGGAGTTCCCATGGGTGGGGACTGTCACAGTAATTGTCACAGTGATTTCAGTTTCAATAAACCGAAACATATGTGACATTATCAGTGCGTGGTGGTTTGTTGTTTTTGTTCCATTGTTTTCTGTGGTTGGGCCTGGCACTGTGTACTAGCTGAAACATTTTTTTTTTTTTGGACGGTAAGAAAGGGTTAGAACTTCTGTCAGGTTTTTATTGCCATCCTTTTCCCTATTGTAGAGAATATACCTCATTTCCTGTCAGAAGAGGAAGTTGTGGGAAATCTCCCCAACAGGGACAGAGGGCTCAACCCATAAAGAATATCTCATACGATAATTGAATCACGTGACGCATTTTTTCCAATTATCTCAAGAGATGCTGAAAAAACTGTCAATTCACTATCACCTTCTGAGTTATTTACTCACAAAATGTACTCATAAAATGGCGTTAAAGTCAATTCACTAAAGGAAATAAATAAATAGTGGTCCAAGCATGAGGTATTTAAAGGGAAAGAGGGGGGAGCAGGTACCTGTCAAAATCAATTTTGACAGGTGCCTGGTCCCACCTCTTTGCCGACTGCCTAGGCAACCGAGCGCAGTCTTTTGGGACACGTGACATGTCGCAGAAGACTGCAGGACAATTCAAAGTGCGCACCTCCGCTCTCCCAAGCACAGTCTGTGAAGCTGCACGCTGTCACAGCCGGATGCCCATAGTAAAGATGCCAGCACTGGGGAGAGAGGACACAAACTGAAAACTGCTGGGCCTAGCACAGTGCTGGATCGTGGGACAGGTGAGTGGCTGTTTATTAAAAAAAAACATTTTTACAAACATGACTGGCGCTCCACTTTGAGGAATGTAAAAATATAATAGCCAGTTTGGAAGAGTCTCTACATTTTTGGATCAGTTCTCTTAACAGTAATGCCTAGAAACCTAAATATGAAAACACAGAATAATTGGGGCTAATTTACTTAAAGCAGGCCTCAAAATTTACACTCGCCTGCTTGCATTCTGCAAGTGGAAATAAGCTGTGGGTGAGTGTATCCCCCAGGGCTTGGCTGTCTTGCTGAGCGGACTGGTTCCGTGTGTGTACATGTGTTTGTATTTCTGTGTGTGTGTGTACGTGTGTGTGTACATGTGTCTGTATGTATTCATGTGTCTGTTTGTGTGTGTGTACATGTGTCTGTATGTATTCATGTGTCTGTATGTGTGTGTGTACATGTGTCTGTATGTGTGTGTACATTTGTCTGTATGATGTGTATGTACATATGTCTGTGTGTATGTACGTGTGTCTGTGTATGTATGTATGTACATGTGTCTGTGTGTGTACATGTGTCTGTATGTATGTGTTTGTACATGTGTCTGTATGTGTGTGTGTGTACATGTGTCTGTATGTATGTGTGTGTACGTATGTGTGTGTGTGTGTACATGTGTCTGTATGTGTGTGTACATATGTGTGTGTACATGTGTTGGCACCGATCATCAGAGCACTGATGATCAGTGCCCAGCAGTGTCACCCACCAGTGCTGCCCACAAGTGCCCAGCAGTGCCACCCACCTTTGCCCATCAGTGCCTAATAGTGCCACCCACCTGTGGCCAGCAGTGCCATCCACCAGTGCCCAGCAGTGCCACCAGTCAGTGCCACCCATCAGTGCCCATCGGTGCTGCCCATCAGTGCCACCTTTCAGTGCACCTTTCAGTGCACATCAGTGCCGCCTATCGTTGCTCATCATTGTTGCATATCAGTGCAGCATCATCAGTGCTGCCTCATCAGAGCTAGCTCATCAGTGCCACCTATTAGTGCTGCTTATCCATGCCACCTCATCAGTGCCCATCAGTGCCGCCTATCAGTGCCCATCAGTGCAGCCTCATCAACGCACATTAGTGAAGGATAAAAATTAGCTGTTTGCAAAATTTTATAATAGAAACAAAGAAATTTTTTTTTTTTCAAAATTTAGCATTTTTTTATAGTGCAAAAATAAAACACCCAGCCATGAGTAAATACCACCAAAAGAAAGCTGTATTTGTGTGAAAAAAATGATAACAATGTAATATGGGTGCAGTGTTGCATGACCACACAATTGTCATTCAAAGTGCGACACCACTGAAAGCTGAAAATTGGCCAGGGCACGAAGGGGGTATAAGTGCCTGGTAGGCAAGTGGTTTAACCCCCTGTCATTTTTTATTGCTTTCTATGCCCCTGTTAAGGAGATTCAATCTTTAAATGGAAACACTAGTTCTGGTGACCTGGGGGTCCTTAAGGAACTCCCCTAATTTGCAGAGATTTCTTTGTACTTCCTGTTTAGCTCTGAGACAGAAAATGATGGGAAATCTCCACAATGAGAAACAGCAAAGAAAAAAAATCTGACAGGGCTATAATCTTCCCTTGCTCTATCCAAAATGAAAAAAAAAATAGGTTTGCCTATAGTCCTACTTCAACATTGTTTAACAAATACATACAGGCACTTATAAGTTGATCCTCCTAGAAGCAGAATTTCCCAGTCTTCAGATGTGTGACCGTGTTTTATTGACAGTTCTGTAGGAAATATATTTAATGTTTTTATTTTTTTACATTTTAGGTAATAGAAGGAGTGGACCACAATGAAGGCCTCAAAGGTTTTTAACTTTTTTTTTTGTAATTACACTGAAAATTATGATTTCTGAAAAATATACCTTTCGTCATAAGTACTGAAGGCATGTAAAATAATGTCTGTGGAGTTTTTATTTTAACAAAAATGTAAAAAGCAAGAAAGAATTGACCTCTTCAGGGTTAGATTGCAATTGCATATCCTATTTAAAAAGAGAAAGAAAACAGTAAACATTTTTAAATAACTAAAATAAATAGTATTATCTGGTGTTCTCTGATACAAAGGCAGATTCAAAAAAATGCTATGGCTGGCTCAAAACTCTGCCAATGTACAAAACTTTTGGAACTGGTTATATGCACTGTGCTGTATTGGAATTGGAGGGTAGAGTGTGTGTGCATGTGGTACCTGATGAATTTAGGCCTCCAACACCTGATGGTTATGCTCAGGGGCGGACTGACCATTTGGGAACTCGGCCACTGCCCGAGGGCCTGAGGTCAGAAGGGGGCCCCATGAGATGCCCCTGGTACCTTTTTCATAGGCTTTTTTGGGTGTGGTTTGAGTGTGGGCAAGGACACAGGGGCCCCATGGTCCCCTATTGTCCGGGGGCCCCATGAGTTGTCAGTCCGCCCCTTATGCTATTCCTCTGTAAGTTTAGTTTAGAAATCTTAGCCTTTGTTCACACTGATGCGGTGCGGAATTCGCAGTGTTTTCAGTGCGAATTCCGCGCCGCATCACAATCACAATCGGACCGATGTGGGTGTGTATGTTAAGTTAACAACACCCCCACATCGGTCCGCAAAACGCGGTGCAATGTGCAGAATCGGATCACATAGGTGGGAATACCTATGCGATCCGATTCTAGTGCGGACCAAAAAAGGGTGCGGTGCGTGTAGAGCCACACAAAACGTATGGCTCTAATTGCACTGCATACAAATCGCATGTGTTTTGTACAGGAATGCGGTGCGGTTCCTGTGCGAATCTCATGGGATTTCTGCAACCGCTGTTGCAACCGCTGTAGTGTGTTCTCAATGCAGAACTTGACCCAGGACAACTTGATAAAAAATAATGTTCTTTAGTAAGAAACATATATTTTATATTAACAATTATGCTACCAAACTTAGTGTGCGCTATAAATTGTTCCTGTTTCTTCTTAATGGAGGCTGCAATTTTCCTGAAGCCAAGAGCCCCTGAGCAGCAGTAAATCCTTAGGCTGCCAGCAGATTGCCCTTTAGTCACACAAAAAATAGAGATCAACTGAGCATGTGCAGAGCAGGGTAAGACAGTGTATTACTGGATTTTAAACAGTATAAGCACTTATTTGTAATGTTGTACATAGCTATACCTGCAAAAGAGGCCAGCATGAAGTGATCTAGCAGAACTTAAAGCGGAATTCCACTCGACCTATCAAAAAATAAAAGTCAGCAGCTACAAAAACTGTAGCTGCTGACTTTTAAAAAACAGCCACTTACCTGTCCCTCGGCCTGTGGTGTGTCCCTGTGGTGCAGCTCGTTTTATCGGCTCTCCTGTATTCCAGGGGGCCGGCATCTTCACTGTGGGCACCCGGCTGTGATAGCTTGCGGCTTCACAGCCGGGTACCCACTGCGCATGCGCGAGTAGTGCTGCACTTCATGAATGCTCCTGTAGTCTTCTGGGACCTGTCACATGTCCCAAAAGACTACAGGAAGGGAGGAAGAGAGGACATCTTCTGTTTCCGATCGCCTAGGCAATCAGACCGGAAGTGGGAGCGGGTACCTGTCAAATTCAGGTACCTGTTCCCCCCCCCCCACTCCCCAAAGGTGCCAATCCTTAATGGGGAGCAGTCCTTTTGGGTGGAGCTCCGCTTTAAGTTTCTGACTAAAGTTCCACTTTAAGAGGATGGCAGGTTCATTTAAACCTCACAAAGTGCTAAAACTGTAGGCTTGCACCAGCCCCAAGGGTGACCCGCGAACTCTATTTTTTCAAGTAACACGTTTCTCATCGTGTAAAGACTGCTACTTTCCTCACTCATGAAAATGGAAATGTTGAAGCAGCTTTGAGGCATTTAGCCTTGGTTCACAACGGTGTGAATTGTGATGTGATTTGACAGTTTCAAATCGCATGACAAGTTGCACACTATTGTTGGCATTGAAACCATTCAAATCGATGCGACTCTGACTTTACGGTCATGCACTGACTTGAATAAAAGTTTCCTGCACTATTTTTTGCAATTTCAGGTGTGATTTGCTTAGACATTTGCGCATGAAGTTGCACAGATGTCAACCAAGTCACACCTGAATTCACACTGACATACGGCTTTGAAATCGTGCAACTTCAAGTGAAGTTGCCTGATTTCAAAGTCGAATCCAGTGTGAACAATGGTATATTTCAGCTTAGATTGAGGTCAGCTGCAAGGACTGGTTCACACCAGATGCAGTTCAGTGCATTTTTATTCTGCATGAAAAACAAATGGAAAATGTTAAACGTGGACTCCGATGGCTTTTAGTCCACACCAGTGCAGTGTGTTCCAGCGTAGTCAACAGAAGTAGAACATGCTGCATTTTTTCTGTATTGAACACATCTGGAATGTGACAAAATGCATTGGAAACCACATGTCCTCAACAGAGATGAAGCATAAAAGAGGCAAAAAAACGCACCAGAATGCATCGATAATACGCATGCAGAAAGGCATCCGGAATGCAGAAATTGTGGTGTGAACCAGCCTTTAAGCTGATCTGAAATTCAAGCTGAATGCACCTAAAGAAAAGTAGCATTTGCCCTTGTGCACACAGTGTCATAGTTACACATTTGATTATGCAATTATGCTTTTAATATGTTGACAGTAGTGAACTTACAAGGCCCCAACCAGTAAAGGTCATGATCATGCATCTGCTTATTCAACCACCCTAGTCAGTCTTGGATTGCTAGAAAGATCACATAGGATGCAGCCTGCGGGGTTCAGTTACATTAGAGGAGACTAAGCTCCCTTCCAGTACTCATAAACTGCCATTTACTGCATACAAAACAATCAGATGTTCTTTTTGTGAGGCATAGAGACAAAGATCTGTGGTGAGCACCATTGACTAAAGTGGCTCAGAGAATAAAAAAAGTAGGGTCCACTAAAGTAATTTTCTTTCAAAATATTTCAGACCTTATTACAGCGGCACATTTTCCAGAAAAAACAAGGCTATCTGAGAATTTCGAAGAGAAAAAACAAGCCAGCGGGGGAAAACAGTCATTTGTGGCAGGAACAGACATGGTAAGTAGCTGGCATTCTAAATGTATTTTAAAAGTGTATGTCCAGGTAAAATCTATGTATTTCAGTTTCAAAAGAACTTCTTTAATGTGTACTTTTAAAAAAATTTCAGTGCTCTGTTACCGTTAGACTTGCCAGTATGCTCCTTTTTGTAACATTTACTTACTGTTTAATCACGGTTATGTCATAGTTTAAGTTTCGGGTTTTTGGAGATGTGCAAAGAGAGATCACAAAAACACTTGCAGGTAGAGTCAAACTGTATATAACATTAAATTAAAATAATAACAGATAAAGATAACAAATGTAATAACATTGGAGAATTTAACAAAGTTCTTAGCTTTTGCCAAGGAATCCCCTTGTCTTTACAGCTTGGTAAGATGATCAGAGACAGCCATGCTTATCGCAGTTCAGAGAGACTACTTATTCCAAGTTTTTGTCCGTAGTAGACAGGCTTGACAAATCCCAGGCGCCAGGTCGCCATGGTGACTAGAAATTGCTTCCTGGTGCCTGGGTTCACATACTGCCTTCCACTTACATGAATGCAAAATCGTGTCCCATTGACTTCAATGGAAAATCGTGTCCCATTGACTTCAATGTCCACATCATGTTTCATTGACTTCAATGCAAAAGTGCCTCCTATTGACTTAAAAGCAAAATCGTGTCCTTTTGATTTCAGTGCCAAAACGCCTCCCATTGACTTCAATGCTAATTTGCCTTCAATTGACTTCAATTCAAAAATGTCTTCCATTCATTGCAATTCAAAAACTCCTGTCAACACTTATCTCCACATGCCACCCTCTCTGTCACTTGCGAGTCGGGAACCCACAGGTGCAAGTTCGCACAGGACCCTGGCACTCAAAGGACAATGCGAGTGGAGCACATCTGTGCGCACCACCTCAATAGGAACACATAATATCTAACCTGTCATGTGAGTCTGTGCATTTGATAACGCATCCAGAATCGCATATGTGTGAACCAGGGTGGCTCCATTCACACCTGGGTGTTTTGGGATTGCAGCAGAATCACTGTGATCGCAAAATGCAGGTTCAGGTGCCATTATTTTCAATGGCACCTAAAATGTGGTGCGGATTTGCCATGATTGTTGGGTGGCAAATCGCATTGTGTGAAGCTTGTTGACCAAAAGTTGCCTTGCTCTGAGTGCTGGCAACCCACTGTACTAAAAATTGGCTCCTACCTTTTTTAGCTGGCTCCTAGATTCAAAGCAAATTTGTCAAGCCCTTGTATATACAGAAGTAATCGATAGTATTGACAAATCCTAAAACCTAAAGGAAGATAGCGCGTATTCCTGAAGGGGCTTGGTCCTTTAGTCAGTTTGTAGTGACATCCCTATGATATGAAGTCATTTAAAGTAAAAATATCTATATAACAATAATATTTGAGATGCATTTCTATGTATCAGTGAGCTATCATAAAAAGAGGAAATATGAACTTTTTCCATCAAGGGCTGACAACACTGCACAAGCACTTCTTTGCAACAGCGTTGTCACACCCCCTCAAACCTCCTCTTCACAAGTAGTGCCCCCCATAGGTCAGTGGTTTCTTGTATTCCACATGGCAGATGGCTTGTAGTTTTCAATAAACTGCGGCACTGCACTGAAGTTCATTCATTCTTCCTGCTCTTCAGTAACTGTCTACCCCCGTGGGAAGTATGGGCAGACAGCAGTACTGAGAGTCTGCAGGTGCCTGACATTGCACTTTTTTACCTGTAAAAAAATGTGCATTTATTGTTTTTTTTTTTTAAAGGTGAACTTATCCTTTATTTTTATACCATTACAATTCTCTAGAGTGAATGTTAAGTACTTACTGTGCTACCTGTACGTTACAAATAGAAATTGACTATTTATCAATTAAATCAAAAATTGCAGCATAGAAAGGAGATATTTCATCTTGCTAACGCATTTTGTTGTATTTTCATTCAGGGTTAATTAAACAATATTTAAATCATATATGCTGAATGATCCATTTGACTAATATCTGTACATCAGAAAATATTTCAGTACAATCTAAACATGTGGAGTAAGGCTAAGTTCACATATGTGCGGGTGATGCCACTGCGGATCTGCACAAAAATCTGTGCAGCCGCACAAGATAATGCGGACCCGCGGGTCATTAATTCTAATGGCACGCTGCCCGCACTGGAAATCACAACCGCACTGGGAACTGAGGTTCCACTGTGGGCTATGGTTTCCAAAGAAGTGCAGGGACTTATTCCCTGTGTGTCCCAGGGCACAGGAGTCCATTAAAATGAATGGGCTCTCGTGCCCATGCAAAACGCGGCCTGCAGAAACGCACATATGTGAACCAGGGCTTATGGAGCCTGTGCAACTGTCTTTTGTAGAAGGAAGCAACATTTGTTTATAACCTTTCTTCAGTTAAAGTTGTACTAAGGCCAACATGGGAAACAATAGTGCAGGAGCAAAGCTTAGTACTTTTAGGCCCCTTTCACACTGCTCCACTGCGCCTTTGCTAAAGAGCAACTTACAAATTGTTTTCGTGCGGATTAGCTGTGCTTTTCAATAGACTTCTATGAGGTCCTGCAGGTTTGGTGCAGTTTCAGGAAGCGCAACAAAACTCCTGCATGCTGCATCTATGGTGCGCTTTCTGAAACCCCACCAAAACTGCAGGATGTCATAGAAGTCTATGGGAAAGCGCAGCTGACCTGTGCAAAACCTAGGGGTTAGCTGTGCTCTGCCCAAAGGAAGGGACTGCATCAGGGCAGTGTGAAACCGCTATTAAATTTTTACTAGTTGCTCATCCAGATATTGATGTAGTAACAGCTCACCTCACTCTCTTTTGTCAGTACACACCAGGGGCGGACTGACCATTTGAGCACTCAGGCACTGCCTGAGGACCCAGGGTCAGTAGGGGGCCCCATGAAAGGCCCCTGGTACCTTTTATAGGCTTTTTTGGGTGTGCTTTGAGTGTGGGCAAGGAAACAGGGGCCCCATGATCCCCTATTGCCCGGAGTCCCCATGAGTTGTCAGTCCGCCCCTGGTACACACCCATTGTAGACTCTATGTTGGGTCCTACACACGTAAGGCCTCATATGAAAAAAAAAAAGTTTATAGCACCAAGAATTTTTTTTTAAAACCACCAAAAGGGATCCAGGCTGTCTTGAAGGTTTGAATATGATTCGCAGAGAGAACATTAGACAACATATGTTTTAGGAAGTACATTCCCGCTGACTCTTTGAGGAGCTTTGGCTGCAGTTTATTACAACGATTAAGGTAAATTTGGACTTTTAGCATAACATTTTTTATCATAGATGCACCTGTGCTGGATAACATTATTAGCTCAATATTTGTCGTCACTTGCTGCCTAAAATTGAACGGCATCAATTTATTAAAGCCCATCTACAGGTAAATGAGGTCTAACACCCCCCCCCCCCCTTCCCATTCAAATTTATTTTGTTCTAAAACCCCTATCTGACCATTTTTGTTTTACTCTCTGAGTCTGTGGTCATGTTGTGACTGGTAAACCAGGACAGGAATTTGTATCTATGCCATCCAATCCTCTCATCATGACATTATTGTTCTGCTACAGTCGTGAAGACCAAAAAGACCCAGCTACTTGAGAGCCAATGGGAAATGTCAATGTTACAAAGACAGTAACGCAGACCCCCATATTAAGACCCACCCACTCTGCTATAGAAAAATGTAGGACTTGAGCTTGTCACGTGCCACAGATATAGGTATTTTGGGCTTTTAGATTTGTTTTTTAACATACCTCAATCATTAATAAGACAGCAATGAAGCGTTAAAATGATGGAGGTGTTGAGAGTGTGCTCAGAGAGGAGCTTTAAGTTAAAAAGAAATGCGCATTGCAAAGTTCAGGCACACATTTGAGAATGTAAGAATGAATATAGAAGGTATGTGATCTGGGTGACTGGGTCTAGCAGTCCTCGTTGCTACCTGCACATGCCTGCAGCAGCATCCAAAGCCCTGTACTTATGGTTGAATACCAGGCTCATCTGACAGGCGTGGTACAAAAGTTTGCTGATTCTGGCACATTCCTGTTGGCCATTGAGGTACACCATCATAGTGATACACCAGTAATAAATTGGGGGTTGGGGGTACAGTGCCTTAAAACATATTCATACCCCTTAAAACTTTCCACATTTTGTCATGTTACAATCAAAAACGTAAATGTATTTTATTAGGATTTTATGTGATAGACCAACACAAAGTGGCACATAATTGTGAAGTGGAAGGAAAATTATAAATGGTTTTCAACATTTTTTACAAATAAATATCTGAAAAGTGTGGCGTGCATTTGTATTCAGTCCCACTGAGTCAGTACTTTGTAGAACCAAATTTTTGCTGCAATTACAGCTGCAAGTCTTGTTGGGGATGTCTCTACCAGCTTTGCACATCTAAAGAGTGACATTTTTGCCCATTCTTCTTTGCAAAATAGCTCAAGCTCTGTCAGATTGGATGGAGAGCGTCTGTGAATGGCAAGTTTCAAGTCTTGCCAGAGATTCTCAATTGGATTTAGGTCTGGACTTTGATTGGGCAATTCTAACACATGAATATGCTTTGATCTAAACCATTCCATTGTAGCTCTGGCTGTATGTTTAGGGTTGTTGTCCTCCTGGAAGGTGAACCTCCACCCCAGTCTCAAGTCTTTTGCAAACTCTAACAGGTTTTCTTCTAAGATTGCCCTGTGCTTTTCTCCATCCATCTTCCCATCAACTCTGACTAGCTTCCCTGTCCCTGATGAAGAAAAGCATACCCACAACATGATGCTGCCAACACCATGTTTCATGGTTAGGATGGTGTGTTCAGGGTGATGTGCAGTGTTAGTTTTTTGCCACACACAGCGTTTTCAGTTCAATTTTGGTTTCATCTGACCAGAGCACCTTCTTCTACATGTTTGCTGTGTCCCCCACATGGCATCTCGCAAACTACTTATTTCTTTCTTTCAACAATGGCTTTCTTCCTGCCACTCTGCCATGAAGGCCAGATTTGTGAAGTGCATGGCTAATAGTTGTCCTGTGGACAGATTCTCCCACATGAGCTGTTGATCTCTGCAGCTTCTCCAGAGTTACCATGGGCCTCTTGGCTGCTTCTTTAATTAATGCTCTCCTTGCCCGGCCTGTCAGTTTAGGTGGACGGCCATGTCTTGGTATGTTTGCAGTTGTGCCATACTCTTTCCATTTTCGGATGATGGATTGAACAGTGTTCCGTGAGATGCTCAAAGCTTGGCATATTTTTTTATAATCTAACCCTGATTTAAATTATCCACATCTTTGTCCCTGACCTGTCTGGTGTGTTCCTTGGCCTTCATGATGCTGTTTATTCACTAATCTTCTCTAACAAATCTCTGAGGGCTTCACAGAACAGCTGTATTTATACTGAGACTAAATTATACACAGGTGGACTCTATTTATTAATTAGGTGACTTCTGAAGGCAATTGGATTCACTAGATTTTAGTTAGGGGTATCAGAGTAAAGGGGGCTGAATGCAAATGCACGCCACACTTTTTAGATTTTTATTTTTAAAAAACATTTGAAAACCTTTTTATCATTTTCCTTCCACTTCACAATTATTTGCCATTTTGTGTTGGTCTGTCACATCAAATCATGGTTGTAACATGACAAAATGTGGAACATTTCAAGGGGTATGAATACTTTTTCAAGGCACTGTATGTGCTGGTATCTCTAGGTTTCTGCACTTTATACCTGAAGCTGTGTAAAGTGTAGTAGCCATTTCATGGTATTTCTTTAATTCAGTTGTTTAATATTATTAAAGTGGAACCCCCACCCAACCGTATAAACTTGAATACCTACTAACTAAAAGTAAGACAGTTAGTAGCACTTACCTGCCACAGATTTCTGAGTCTGAAAGCTTGTTCCCCCTCACTGCCATTTAAAAAAAAAGTTCAGTGCCCAAGATGTGGAGCGTGATGTCATCGTTAGGTCAACAGAGAAGAAAGAAACCAGCCAATGATCATTCGCCTGACAAAGTGAGGAAATAAATATTTTTTTTTTTCTTTCAAACAGATAATTGAAATTGTATATGGTCCATGCAAGAAAGGAGGCGTATGATGCATGTGCTTCATGTCACACATGCATCATACAAAATTGTACTAATCTGTAAAATCACTTTTTTTGGAAATCTTACAGTTAGGAATGAGTTCTCCCTGAAGGCACCAGTGATGTTGCCTTCCTAGGGAATATCTATGTGACTGGTGCTATGCCACCACTGCCTTGATGGGAACCAGAATGTGGATACAAAAAATGTAAGTAAAGGCAAAAAATTTAAAAAAAAACTAAATGTTATATGATTTCACATCAGCATGGCTGCATGTTGCCCTCCCAGGGGGCATCTATGTGGCTGGTACTATGCCACCATTGCCTTCAGGGGAACCAGAAAGTGGATATAGAAAAAGGTAAGTAATGACAGAAAAACTTTTAAAAACCAAATGTTTGATGATTTCACATCAGCATGGCTGCATGCTGATATGAAATGTATTGTAAGTTTAGAAATAAGGATGCTTTGGTGCTCTTTGCTGCAGGAATTTCAGATGCAGTTTAGAATCAGCACTTAATTAGTTTTCCTCCTTAATTCTGAGTTGTTCTTACATCCTGGCTGCAGGGTGGTTTGAGCCCAGCACTGGTTTTGGTTTTTGAGAGAACTTTTGCTTCTTTCTTCCTGAAAAACTGAATAATAGCTATGTACTAGACAAGCCATCATTTTTGTGCAGCTGTTAGCTGGCCAGGATTGCATATTTCTTAAAAAGTGCTATGTTGCTTTATTAAAGAAATCATGTGGGAACACAGCTGGGCAGGTCAGTTTCAAGGTTGCAGTAACACATTTGTTTCTGGTGTGTATTAATTTATTTCCTTATAGATTAATTTAGATAACGAATGTATTCAAATTTCAAGCTCTGGTGCTTTTGTTGTGAAAAAAAAGTTAGAATTTGCTTTTTACATTTAGCCATAACATCTAAATAGGGTTTAGGTCTGGACATTAAATGTATATCTTAGTTATAACAGGCCTCCTATCTTAGATTTTTATTTTAATATTAGTGTATTTTTTTATTTTTTATTTTGCGTAATAATCTATTTGAGAAAAAAATGTCTACCTTCCTTCCTTCCTTCCTTTTTCTTTCTATTATTTTCTTTGTTCCCAGAAGCTTTTATACAGTGCAATGAAAGCTGTTTGGTTGCTGTAGGTTATTGTAGTTTATATGTTGTTATTGCACTTGACATTTCCCAACTGAATTAATAATCAAGTGTGAAAAATTGCTAATAAATTACAATATATGTTGGATCACTGTACTATAGATATATAGTAGTGCACTAATTTACATTCAAATTTCAGTTGCCAGGTCACTGAAAAGGGCAAAGCCATATATGAAGTAATTCATACTTCGCAACAAGATACCTCCATTTTGCAAGTTATATGTGAATTGGAAGATTCATTGCAAGATGATGCACATATTCCTATACAGGACAGTGGTGAGTAGTTGAGCCTTTGCATTGATAATATATACCAGCAGCACATGCCAAAAGGGAGTCTTGATGCAGAGGGAGAAAAGAGAGGTCATAACTGACACAGGAAGCCTTTAAATGAAATATTACTGGTTGGGTGGACTGAAAAGACTGGAGGACATAGTGATTGAGGCTAGTAAGGGGTAATCTAATATTGAGGTGGAGACATACTGTATGTACATTATTTATACTGTGTATGACTTTGAAGACAGTGTAAAAATGTTCATATTAGTACATTTGTCCTGTATAATTATTTTTTTGTTTACATAGCCGAGAACTGTAGATTGCAACAGACTGCAGTGCTTGATGGGTATAATAGTAATAATCAGGGGAATAACCAAGGACCAGACATTTCCAAAGCAGCAGTTCTACTTGGTGAACCAGTATGTCTCTGAAAAATCAATTTAAACTTGTCACAGACCTGTGTAATTTGTAATCTAAATTCTTATAATGTTACTAAAACATACACCGACATTCTGAAAAACAGAAAGATAACTATGAAAATAAACAAGTCGAGTTGTAATGCTGTGAACAGTAAAATGTCCAGTAGATGTCACTGTCTGACCAAGGTGATTGTAGCCGTATTAGTGCATTTGCGATAGAAACAATTGAGTACTGTCCGTGATACTTTTTTTATTTGCACTAACATACAATTTAAGGACAAGCTTTTGGGGTATGTCCCCTTCTTCAAGGTCCAAGCAGTACTATACAAATACAAATCACAAAGTTTCAGCAGAATGTTAGAAGGGATGAAATAAAAAAGAGGCTAGAGATAAGAGACAGCAAAAGCGAGGGGGGAGGGGGGATACTACACTCACACAGAGGGAGTCACGCTTGAGCTGATAGTCATAAATATGTTGGATAATGATTGAGGAATCCCCAGTCCAAATTAAGGCCGTTATCTCTTGTGTCAAATAGAATTATCATTCTTAGTTCAAAAGTTTTTCTTTCCTGAATGGATTTGAAATTTCCTTTAAGAACAAAAATATTGAGGTCTCCCATTGTGTGGTCTGGTTGTGCGAAATGGTGTCCCACAGGTGTACAGAGGTCATCTTTATGTTCCTTGATGGTATGTCTGTGCAAATTCATCCTTGTTTGCAACTTCTGTCCTGTTTTGCCAACATAAGATCCTTTGCTGCATTTTTGCACTGCATTTACCTTATCCAGTGCAGAAAATGCAGCAAAGGAACTTATGTTGGCGAAACAGGACAGAAGTTGCAAACAAGGATGAATTTGCACAGACATACCATCAAGGAACATAAAGAAGATGATCTCTTCACACCTGTGGGACACCATTTCGCACAACCGGACCACACAATGGGAGACCTCAATATTTTAGTTCTTAAAGGAAATTTCAAATCCATTCAGGAAAGAAAAACTTTTGAACTAAGAATGATAATTCTATTTGACACAAGAGATAATGGCCTTAATTTGGTTTTATGACTATCAGCTCAAGTGTGACTCCCTCTGTGTGAGTGTAGTATCCCCCCCCCTCCCCCCTCGCTTTTGCTGTCTCTTATCTCTGACCTCTTTTTTTTTTTTTTTTTTTCATCCCTTCTAACACTCTGCTGAAACTTTGTGATTTGTACTCAATTGTTACTGTCTGACCACAAATTATTCCAGTAAATTGTGTTTAAAGGACAAGTTCACCTTTTGTAACATGTTACGTTATTATTATTATACAGGATTTATATAGCGCCAACATTTTGCTTAGCGCTTTACAATATAACGGGAGACAATACAGCAACAATACAGTTCAATACAAGAGGGATAGGAGGCCCTGCTCCTTGGAGTTTATAATCTAGGAGGTTACACCCATATTGAGGGTGTAGCATGTAACATGTTACAATCGGACTAACCTCCGCACCCCCCTCCGCCCTGCTAGCTGTCACAATTTAAAAAGCCCACTCGACTGTGTCCCTCATTCACAGTATTCTGTGAATGGGAAAACTACAAGTTCTGACAGCCTTTGTGACTGTCGGGCTTGTAGTTTTTAATTTACTACCACTGCGCTCCACAGCGCTGTGGTAGTTCATTGAGCCTTCCTGTTAGGTGCGTGTCAGGGGGTGTTCCTAGGCAGGCTGCATTTGCATGTAGACTGCCCTAGATAATGTCCATATGTGATACTGAGCCTATGATTGAGGGAACTGAAATCTAAAGAAAGAAAGGACCAGGGACAGTAAGGCTGGGGAGGAAAGCTAGCTGCTGCTGGATTTCCACCAGACTGGAAATAGACAGGTTGTATCTAACTTGTTTCAACTACTACTACACGCATTCATCACTTCCAGTTTTCCCGGATGTAAACAGCATCACCTTTAAATAGGGAAAGTATCTGTTGACACCAGTTTCTCCATAAAAAGTACCAGTCACTGCCTATATCAGAGGAGATATTTACATTGCCTGTAAAAACAATAAAATTGTTTAAAAAAAAATTATTTTAAAATAAAATAAAACCCCGCCCCCCCCAGACAAAAAGGCAAATGCATTCGCCGGTCCCACTAGCATGCAAACAGAGATCATCCCACCACATGTGAGGTATCACTGCAAACATCAGATTAATGACAGTAATTCTAACACCAGACCTCCTGTGTAAGTCTAAAGTGGTAACCTGTAAAGGCTATTAAAGCTTTGCTTATGGATAGTAACATTTATTTCACTGGTGCATAGGCGTGTGCAGTTTTAAAGCCTGACATATTTGGTATCTATTTACTCAGCATAACATCATCTTTTAAAATGTATCAAACAATAGGATATTATATTGTGTTAATGTGCATTAAAATAAAAAAAAACGGTATTTTTCCCAAAATATTGCGCTTGAAAAACTGTTGCGCAAATACTGTGTGACATCAAAAATTGCAACACCCACCAATTTATTCTCTAGGGCCTGTGCTTTAAAAAAAATATAAATGTGTGGGTGTTCTAAGACATTTTCTAGCAAAAAACACTGATTTTTACATGTAAGCAAAGTGTCAGAAAAGGCCGGCTCATAAAGTGGTTATGTACCGGTACGTCGCTGGTTGTCAAGTGGTTAAAAAAATTTTAAATGGTTAAGCCTGCTCCTGAGGAAAAGCAGTCAGCTACCATTGCTCAAAGGCTTAAAGATACCTAAGACTTTTCCAGTATATTCCTAACCTGAGAATGTGTTCTATTGGAAAAATCCTGACAAAATTTTCATTCCTCCCCAAACCTTTTCAGTACAATATCAATAACAATATGAGAAAAATAAATAAATACAATCTGCTGCGCTTGAATGGAAAAAACCCTACCACTAAGTTGCTAACACCCCCCCTTCAACCATAAAGTGTAAATAAACAATAAATAATGGTGAAGCGCTGAATAAATACTAAATAAATACAAAAATCAAAACTAATTATAAATCCATAAATAAACATACTTAAGTGAAAAAAGTGTACCAATAATTAGTGCACACACATATAATCAATATAAAAGAATAACCCCAAACACTAGGATCATATTAAGTGAATGACATAATTTGTGCATGTGTATAAAACACTCTGTGAAATAATTCAATCTATATATATATATACCGTACATATATATATATATCCACTACAAACAAAGTCCACACACTGTCCCTTATACTTTTCAGAAGTCCGATATTGTTCTATGTACAATCCTTGTTTTATTGATTGCATGTAATATTCTAATTATCTGAGATTGTGGATTTGGGGTTTTCATGAGCTTTGTTGTTCTGATTCGGAATCGGAAAGGAAAGAGCATGATGAAACTAACAACAAAGCTCATGAAAACCCCAAATCCACAATCTCAGAAAATTAGAATATTACATGCAATCAATAAAACAAGGATTGTACATAGAACAATATCGGACCTCAGAAAAGTATAAGCATGCATATTTATTTATTCCAGTTTTTATCATGATCCTAGTGTTGGGGTTATTCTTTTATATTGATTATATGTGTGTGCACTAATTATTGGTACACTTTTTTTTCACTTAAGTATGTTTATTTATGGATTATAATTAGTTTGATTTTTGTATTTATTTAGTATTTATTCAGCGCTGCACCCATTATTTATTGTTTAATAACAATATGAGGTATTTTATTAAAATGGACTGTCCCCACTGTGGACCAGGTGATTTCAACAAAACACTGACTTGGGTCCATTGAGGATGCCACAGTATTTAAGAATACTGTTTTCCCTAACAGGTTTTGATATCCAGCCTTCCATTGCAGTAATGTCAATCTGTCAAACCTTAGGGGAATGGATTAAATTTATATAACAAGTTGCAGCTGCTATTCTCACTAGTCCCTTAGCATTAGCACGCTTGGAGTTTATACCTTCTGTCCTACACTATTGTGACTGATTTAGTTGACATTGCTTGTCTGTTTTCCAGAATTAGTGTCATCCAGAATTAGTGCTTTCCAGAAATTAGTGCTGGAACCAACCCAACACCTGGAGTTTCTGCTGTTCATCCTGCTTACAGCTCAAGCCAGAGTTTTCCTTCCCAAGTAAAACTCCTGACTATCGAATCACAGATTCAGATTGCACTATCCAGGAGATTTCCAACTCTGCAACTTTGCATGATAGTTCTTCTCCTCTTGGTAGCCACCTTAGAGATAGTCCCATTTGCTCAGTTTCACTCCATAACCCTACAACACAACATGTCATTGTGGGACAAACAAATTCCATGCCAGGACAAACTGATTCACCAAACACTAAAAACCTAGTTGTCTCTGACTTTGTGGCTCAGGAATCCAGCCCTGGAGTTGTCCTTCCTTCCAACCATCAGATGTCAGCCTGATGAAATGGAGAGGAATCGTAGACACCTTATGGCCTTGTTTACACTTGATAGATAGAGACCTTTATTGTGATCCTTAAAGCTCTAAATTGGCTCAAACAGATGTGGTATTCTGACCTTATCAAATCTCTGGCAGACTCCATGGGCTCTTCCATATCTACCAGATCTTGTGTCCCAAGAGCAAGTTTACCATTTCTGGTTTGCTAGCTTTATTGGCATAAGTGTTGAAGCACAGGTCATGAAGACCAGTGCCTTTCCAATTCAATCATACCCACCCTGTTAAAAGCTAGGAAGTCTACATCCTGTAAAAAATTACGATCATGCATGAAAGGCTTACTTTGCTTGGTATGAGGCAAGGAATATCATTCCAGGAAATACTTAGTGGAACAAATTCTAGACTTGCAAATAAGCTTGAATCAACAATTGGCCCTGAGTACCATCAAAGGGCAAATCTTGGCACTTGTAATCCTATTCCAAAGACCAATTGCCTCATGTTCGTTGGTGAAAACCTTTGTACAGGATGTTTTCCTAGGATTTATTAGGTGAATGTTCAAACCTCATCTGCTGCCAGCATTGGGCGTAAGGTCCTTTTTGAGCTGCAGACTATTTTCTTTTATGTGAACCTGTTAGTGTTTTATTATTGTTGCTCACCCCTCAGTTGGACTGATTTTAGACATCCCATGAATCTAAATACTTATCCTGTGTCCCCTAATGAATGATAAAGAAAGCAGCATTTTGGAACCTACTGTAAAATCCATTTCTTGGAGTTCATTAAGGGACAATAGTCTCACCCGTCTTGTTTCTGATCTACTCCTATGTACTGTTTTTCTATAAAACTAAAGCATGCTAGGAGTAAGAGGGGCTATACCTGGCTGGCCAATAACTTTTTTGCTTGCCAGTATCTGAATCCTCCCGTAGGAGACATTATGACCCTTACTCAGAATACTGATCCCGTATCCCTAATGAACTTCAAGAAACAAATTTTATGGTACAAAAATACTGCTATTTAGGTTTTTACAAGGTTAAATAATCAAATAATGAGTAACAGTAGAGTTTGTTACTAAAAGAAAAGTACCTTTTTTAACTAAGAGAAAGGACATTTTGGTAAGCTGATTTTTGTGGTTAATATCTTTTAAGTAGTGCCATATACATAGAGGAAGTTTTATATATAATTATACTGTAAAATTATTTTTTTTCACATTTGCTTTTGCAGAAGACAGGAGATCATGTTGCCAGAAAGGTGGACACCGGTTTGAAATTCAATGTGAATCAGCAAATCATAGTGTAGCATCCCTAGCACAGTGAGTAAATATATATATATATATATATATGGTATGATTATTAGATTATTATTATTATTACAAAATAAAGGAAGACAGTACAGTTACATTATATTTATATACAAGAAGGTTCAGAGGGTCCTGTTTGTGACAGATTACAATCTAAAAGGTAGGTTCAACTAAGTTAAGGCAATAACTGTGAGGAATGAGCTGATGGGAGGAAGTAAATGTACAGTTAGTTTATAGGATGAAGGTGGGATAGACCTCCCTGAAGAGATAAGTAGGAGATAGCCAGAAAGATTAGGGTAAGGATTTCCAGAGGATGGGTGAAGTCCTGGATATGAGCAAGGGAAGAGGATTACAAGGAAGTTAGAGAGCAGGAGGTCTTGGGAGGAGCTTAGTGGATGGTTTGGGTGATATTTGAGATGAGATTGGTGATGTAGCCTAGGAGTCGTTGATGGCTTTGTATCATTTTAGTATTTTTGTAATATTTTTGTTTGAGGATTGGAAGCCAATGGAGGGATTGGTAGAAAGAGATGGCAGACAATGAATGATTGGTAACATGGATAAGTCTGGCAGCAGCATTCATGGTAGACTGAAGGGGGGATCACTGTTACTGAGGAGGGAGTAGCAATGATTGCAAGATGTGGACAGTGATTGAAATGGGGCTGAAAAGAAAGGTCAGAGTCCTGGATTACACCTAGCACCCTTGCATAAGGGTAGGGACTGAGAGTTCTATCATTGATGTTGACTGAAATGTCAGGAGAGGAGGTGAGCTATTATGAGCTCAGTTTTAGAAAAAATGAGCTTGAAGAAGTGGTGTGACATTCATACTAATTTGTTAGTAAGTCAATTAGTGATGCCTTGAAAAGACTGACAGATATTGAGAAAAGGGTTTGGACTTAGAACCTCGTAACTGTAAGAAATTTGTGACTTCGTGTAATACTTCACACTTCGAGTAATAGGGAAATCATAGGAATTTAACCATAAACCCTTTTTTTATTTGAAACTAGAAAATCCGGCACCAACTTAAATGATGATAAAATGGTTTAAGTTTTATTCAGTATGTATGAAGACATAAAAATATAAAATTATCCATCATATACAGTAAGGAACAAAAGTATTTGAACACCCTGCGATTTTGCAAGTTCTCCCACTTAGAAATCATGGAGGGGTCTGAAATTCACATTGTAGGTGCATTCCCACTCTGAGAGACAGAATTTAAAAAAAAAATTCAGGAAATCACATTTTATGATTTTTTAAGAATTTATTGGTCTTGCACTGCTGAACATAAGTATTTGAACACCTGAAAAAATCAATATCAATATTTGGTACAGAAGCCTTTGTTTGCAATTACAGAGTTCAGACGTTTCCTGTAGTTCTTGACCAGGTTTGCACACACTGCAACAGGGATTTTGGCCCACTCCTCCACACAGATCTCCTCTAGATCTGTCAGGTTTCTGGGCTGTCGCTTAGCAACACGGAGTTTCAGCTCCCTCCAAAGATGTTCTATTGGATTTAGGTCTGGAGACTGGCTAGGCCACTCAAGAACCTTGATATGCTTCTTACGGAGTCACTCCTTGGTTATCCTGGCTGTGTGCTTCAGATCGTTGTCATGTTGGAAGACCCAGCCATGACCCATCTTCAATGCTCTGACTGAGGGAAGGAGATTGTTGCTCAAAATCTCACAATAAATGGCCCCATTCATCCTCTCCTTAATACAGTGCAGTTGTCCTGTCCCCTTCGCAGAAAAGCACCCCCAAAGCATGATGTTACAACCCCCATGCTTCACAGTAGGGATGGTGTTCTTGGGATGCAACTCATCCTTCTTTTTCCTCCAAACATGACGAGTGAAGTTTAGACCAAAAAGTTCTACTTTGGTCTCATCTGACCACATAACTTTCTCCCATGCCTCCTCTGGATCATCCAGATGGTCATTGGCAAACTTCAGACAGGTCTGGACATGTGAGGACTTGAGCAGGGGAACCTTCCGTGCAATGCATGATTTGAAACCATGACGGCGTAGTGTTCTACCGGCAGTGACCTTTGAAACTGTGGTCCCAGCTCTCTTCATGTCATTGACCAGCTCCTCCCTTGTATTTCTGGGCTGATTCCTCACCTTTCTTATCATCAGTGATACCCCACGAGGTGAGATCTTGCATGGAGCCCCAGTCCGAGGGAGACTGACAGTCGTCTTTAGCCTCTTCCATTTTCTAATAACACTGTTCAACAGGTAAAAAGTTTTGGGCATAAAATTAGCTAATCTTACATAATTTTGGGGTGCTGAAAATGAAAATGACCCTAAAAAATGTTGATTGGCTCTAGTTTCCATGATATATTCACCCATCTAATGACGTAAGCCATTCAAAATTATGATGCAACTTCAGCTGCATATTGCGCAATTGATACTGGTGACCAATAGAAAATTGCATGTATACTGAGATGATGCAATATTAGCCTTTAATTGCATCACTTCACTGCATAAAAGCTGCAGTATCTGTAGCTGATTGTAGTTCGACAGCGTCTTTACATTTCGTTTTATGCTTATATAGGCTACTCAGTAATGCCTCGAACTTGTGTGAATAAAGCAGATAATTTCTGCTATATCTGCGGTGAAATAACTTTTATCTCACAAAAAAGGAGGATAACAGGAATGATTAAGAAAGCCTACAACTTGTATTTTGGCTGCAAGATAGGAGACCAGGACAAGAGCTGGGCACCACATATATGCTGCAATTCTTGTGGGACGGCACTGGAGCAATGGTTGAATGGAAAAAAGGCATCTATGCCTTTCGCTGTGCCAATGATTTGGAGAGAGCCAACAGATCATGTTAGTAATTGTTACTTTTGTATGGTGCCTCCAATTGTAAAAGGGCTAAATAAGAAGAAAAAGTTATCTGTGCACTATCCAAATATTCCATCGGCAATACGTCCAGTTCCTCATGGAGAGGGGCTACCAATTCCTAAAGCACCAGAATCCTTCGTGGTTGAGTCAAGTGAGGAAGAACCTGAAGCGTGTAGTCACGTGCAGTTGTAAGAGTTAGCCCTTTCCTCGAATACAAGAGAAAAGCCAAGAGAAGCAAAACCGACACAAACTGAAGAGAAAACTAGTGAGAATCCTAAGTATTAAAATGATTCAACTTAGCTTATGGCTATAATTTTTCTTGGTAATCCTATGCAATATATTATGCCATTTAGGCTTTGTTATGTAGTCAATATCACTTGCTTTATATTTGTGGAAAGACATCTATCTATATAATTATTGTGCATTATGTAGTCATTACGCCTATAGTAGAAAACTTTCCGTTTACAGAAAAACTAGAGCCAATTGACAAATTTCATTGTTATATTTGAACTCAGAATGTGAAATTCATTAAGAAATGGATCCTTTTGTTTCCAAAACTGGCAAAAAATAAAAATTTGTTGAACAGTGTAATTGCTCCAACAGTTGATCTATTTTCACCAAGCTGCTTGGCAATTGCCCCATAGCCCTTTCCAGCCTTGTGGAGGTCCACAATTTTGTCTCTGGTGTCTTTTGACAGCTCTTTGGTCTTGCCCATGGTAGTAGTTGGCGTCTGACTGACTGTGGGGTGGACAGGTGTCTTTAAAGAGCTCAGACAGGCGCTACTAAGTTAGATTAATGAGTGGAGTAGAGGTGGACTTTTTAAAGGCACAGTAACAGGTCTTTGAGAGCCAGAATTCTTGCTGTTTCTTAGGTGTTCACATACTTATGTTCAGCAGTGCAAGACAAGTAAATTCTTTAAAAATCATACAATGTGATTTTCTGAATTTTTTTTTTAATTCTGTCTCTCAGAGTGGGAATGCACCTACAATGTGAATTTCAGACCCCTCCATGATTTCTAAGTGGGAGAACTTGCAAAATCCCAGGGTGTTAAAATACTTCTGTTCCTCACTGAAAAAAATTGATGACTTTCTGCCCCACCTTTAGAGCCTTTGTCATAATAACTGTCACAAGTTAGCCTGCAGTTTCTTGTTTGTGTATTCTTACCTCCTTGCTGCAGTGCTGCTCCTGATTCTTTTCACATGTGCTGTTTATCTGTGCTCACCTATGGGCGTTGTCTGCTGTTCTCTGGGTTTTATTTCCTTTCCTTCCATCACTTCCTGGCCCGCCACCTAGTTTGCTTGTCTATATAAGACATGCTCAGTCTAGCCTACTTTGCCTGAGCAACTTCTTTGTTCTCAGAGCTCCTGTCTGTTGCTACGCTTGTATCCTGTATCTACCAGTGCACCAACCCCGGTTTTGTCCACTGACTGTGATGATCTTCACCCACCCTGACCTCGGCTTGTCTACTGGCTTCCCTGTTGTCTCCTGGATTACACTGTTCATGCGATTGGTCTTCGCATCCTCAGCTGGGCGTACCTGGAGGCCACGACCTGGTTCCAGCTTGCTGCAAGTCCATCTCCACCATCAGTGGCTCTGGTGAAGAAGCAGGCTGGGGCTTAGACTCTGCACCCTGGAGAATCCCAAGTTGGCGGTCTACAAAGGCTCACTACCACAGGTTCATGACAATAACTTATTGTGGTTTATTTACTAAAGCTGGAGAGTGCAAAATCAGGCTCACTTCTGCATAGAAACCAATCAGCTTCTAACCTCAGCTTGTTCAATTAGGCTATGAACCTGGAAGCTGATTGGCTTCTATACAGAAGTGAGTCTGATTTTGCATTCTCAAACTTTAGTAAATAAATCCCATTAGGTCTTATTCAATATGACTAAGGCCCTAATGTACAGTAAGGGTAGAAATACGTCAATGTTTCTATATGATGGATACCTTTATGTTTTTAATGTCTTGATGGATACTGAACAAAGCATGAACCATTTTCTCATCATTTAAGTCAGTGCCGGATTTTCTAGTTCTGATGCTTGTCTACAGTATGTACAGTTTATATCCTGGCATAGACTATTGCACTTGTTCCAGTGGATATTAAATCCAGGGGTTGTACCACAGGTTTTCTTTTTTTCCTTTTTTGTTTGTGGCAGAAGTGTTTTAATTCAGTGATGACATATTTGTATTGACTTGAATGCTACAGTGCCTTGAAAAAGTATTCATACCCCTTGAAATATTCCACATTTTGTCATGTTACTACCAAAAATATAAATGTATTTTATTGGGGTTTTATGTGGTAGACCAACACATAGTAGCACATAATTGTGAAGTGGAAAGAAAATTATAAATGGTTTTCAATATTTTTTTTACAAATAAATATCTGAAAAGGATAGCGTGCATTTGTATTCAGCCCCCTTTACTCTGACTGATACTCTAAAGTTTTGCATCTTTAGCGTTTATTAACATATGCTGAAAGACCAGTTGTAAGCTGTTGGGTATGTTTTGTTATTTTGAAGAAAGCCAAGGAAGAAATAATTAAACAGGAAGAACCCAAAGTATCTGCCCTGAAAAAGGATTGGATTCAAAGCATACCATACCAATAGCTTTATTTATTTGGTATTACAAGAAAGTACTTAAAGCACTAAGGCCCCATGTACACAGGACACTTCTGAACAATGGAAACTGACTGCTGGAAAACGTAGGTTAAAAAACGTCTGGTTAGCTACGTTTGCATAACGCATTTATGCGCGTTTGCGTTTAGAAGCGTTTTTTAAAGAAGCACAGGAGAACCTCCTAAATGCCCAGAATGCACTGAAAAGTGGTAAATTATTATTATTGTTTCAGAGAAATAAAGAGAGTAGAAGCAGAGAGAGCAGTATGTGTTGAGATTAGCTTAGGTGTGAGTTGCTCATTAACATTTCTTTTGTTTCCAAGGGTGAGAAGGTGTCTGGTGGGGTGAGTCATTAAGGCCACCTGGCAGGGGGTCTTCATGAGGAATTTGAGGTGTGAATAGTCATTAACATATCTTTTGTTTCCAAGGGTGGGAGAGGTCTGAGGTGTGAATTGGTGATTACAATGTGTAACACGTTTGGTAGGAACATCCTGTGTTCAGTGTTTTGTCCATTTGAGTACCTTGAAAATGCTTTGCATGCATTTTTCATGATGAAAAAAGGACTATATCAGGAACTGGAAGAGTTAAAAAAAATTTGCAAACGCTTAGAAACGTGATTTGCCGCATTTAGCCGCGTTTACAAGCATTTTGCGTTTGAGACGCTGCTAAAATCGACTGCTGAACGCAAGTTGTCTGCGTTCAAAAAATGACTGTAAACTCAAATGCCTGTAATCAACTGTAAGCGAAGATGTGTAGATGGACACATAGGAAAACATTAGAGTGAGTTCAGGGGCTGCTGAAAAAAAAAAACACTGAACAGCTCCTAATCGTGAGTTTATCAGCTGCAGTGTACATGAGCCCTAAAAGTTATCCTGAGTAAATACACAATATACAGCATTTACCTTGCAAAATACCATACTGTCCACTGACATTCTGTAATGGATGTCCCCATAATCTGAGAAGAGTGAGTTTTAATTAAAGTATGTGTTATATTACTAATGATGTTTTTTTTTTTTTGTTCTGTTTAGCAATACAGAATCTAAGTCAGAAACAGAAACGGTATCAGAAAACCAGGGACTGTTTTCCGATGATCCTGATGAAGAGTCATTCCAAAAACAAGTTTCTTCAAAGCCTGCTAAACAAACTGTGAGCCGGACGATAGAAGTTAGTGCTTTTCTTTTATTACGTTTTAATCATACTGAAAAAGCATGAAAGTACCAAAATCTAGTAAAGAGTTTACATATTTAAAATTGTGTTATGATATTCTCACTGCTATGAGCATCAACTAAACTAATGGGATAGCAGTTTGGTTTTGTGTTAGTAAAGTGGGCCTGTACTCAGCATATATTTGATCCACACTTTTAGCATTGATTATGTGATGAGTTTTTGGTTTCGTGATTAACACTGGAAGTAGCCTAAATCAGCATTTTTCCCTTGAAATACAAGTATTTTATTTAAATTGTGCTAATGAATCCCTGCTAGCCATACTTTAAATTGTAGATATGTCTGCTTCAATAATGACTGCATTCATCCTCCTTTGTAGCAAAACACCTAGGCCTGGAAGGAAGACCCTTGCTATGCTGGAAACAAGTGAAAATATCTGGTTCCTAGTTAACAGTTAGCTAATGCTAGATGGTTTTTAACCATCTGACAGTTTCTTGTATGTTTCAGAGACTGTGTTGGTGACAAATCAACAGTTGAGCTCCAGGCTCTGCACGTGGCATTACAAGGGAATCCCAGGGTCCCAGGACACCTTTACAAATAGATCCAAAAGAAGGTCAGCAGACCCTTTTTCAATGCAGTAAGGGTTTTTGAGGATATGTGATAGTGATTAGACTATTTCCTACTTTGGCCTCGTCCTTTTTACATTCCTTTTTTTTAAGCTGAATTTGTCTGCATACAGTGCCTTGAAAAAGTATTCACACCCCTTGAAATTTTCCACATTTTGTCATGTTACAACCAAAAACGTTAATGTATTTTATTGGGATTCTGTGTGATAGACCAACACAAAGTGGCACATAATTGTGACGTGGGAGGAAAATTATACATGGTTTTAAAATTTTTTTACGAATAAATATCTGAAAAGTGTGGTGTGCATTTGTATTCAGCCCCTTTTACTCTGATACCCCTAACTAAATTCTAGTGTAACCAATTACCTTCAGAAGTCACCTAATTAATAAATAGAGTCCACCTGTGTGTAATTTAATCTCAGTATACATACAGCTGTTCTGTGAAGCCCTCAGAGGTTTGTTAGAGAACATTAGTGAACAAACAGCATCATGAAGGCCAAGGAACACACTAGACAGGTTATTGATAAAGTTGTGGAGAAGTTTAAAGCAGGGTTAGGCTATAAAAAAATATCCCAAGCTTTGAACATCTCACGGAGCACTGTTCAATCCATCATATGAAAATGGAAAGAGTATGACACAACTGCAAACCTATCAAGACATGGCTGTCCATCTAAACTGACAGGCCAGGCAAGGAGAGCATTAATCAGAATAGTAGCCAAGAGGCCCATGGTAACTCTGGAAGTGCTGCAGAGATCTACAGCTCAGGTGGGAGAATCTGTCCACAGGACAACTATTAGTCGTGCACTCCACAAATCTGGCCTTTATGGAAGATTGGCAAGAAGAAAGCATTGTTATAAGAAAGCCATAAGAAGTCCCATTGCAGTTTGTGAGAAGCCATGTGGGGGACACAGCAAACATGTGGAAGAAGGTGCTCTGGTCAGATGAGAACAAATTTGAACTGGCCTAAAAGCAAAACGCTGTGGTGGAAAACTAACACTGCACATCTCCCTGAACACACCATCCTAACTGTGAAACATGGTGGTGGCAGCATCATGTTGTGGAGATGCTTTTCTTCAGCAGGGACAGGGAAGCTGGTCAGAGTAGATGGCAAGATGGATGGAGCCAAATACAGGGCAATCTTAGAAGAAAACCTGTTAGAGTTTACAAAAGACTTGAGACTGGGGCAGAGATTCACCTTCCAGCAGGACAACAACCCTGAACATACAGCCAGAGCTACAATGGAATGGTTTAGATCAAAGCATATTCATGTGTTAGAATGGCCCAGTCAAAGTTCAGACCTAAATCCAATTGACAATCCGTGGCAAGACTTGAAAATTGCTGTTCACAGACGCCCCCCCATCCAATTTGACAGATCTTGAGCTTTTTTCCAAAGATGAATGGGCAAAAATTTTACTCTCTAGATGTGCAAAACTGGTAGAGACATACCTAAAAAGATTTGCAGCTGTAATTGCAGCGTAAGGTGGTTCTACAAAGTATTGATTTAGGGGGGCTGAATACAAATGCACGCCACACTTTCCAGATATTTATTTGTAAAAAATGTTGAAAACCATTTATCATTTTCCTTCCACTTCACAATTATGTGCCACTTTGTGTTGTCTAGAAATTCTGAAGAACCCTCTGCACACTGGTATATACCACAGTATATACCAGTGTGCAGAGGGTTCTTCAGAATTTCTAGTGTTAATATGTGGTTACACCCCTTTAGCACCTGATGAATAAATGCATGCACTAGCTTTTGGGATTTGAGCACAGGGATCTCTTATTTGTTGTGGGTCAGTAGCCAGACCTGAACCTTGTAGCTCTCCCCCATTGTGTCTTTTCCCCTATGTTAGCATTGTGTCCACAGTAGCATTTGCGGAGGCAGAGCAGAGTAGGACTGGCCATAGAGGGATTACTTTCACGCAGTTGGCCAGCTTAAGCATGTATTGCAATATGTGTGAACTAAATATCCCTATTTATTGCATAGTCTGCTTGGGGTATATACCAGTGTGCAGAGGGTCCTCAGAATTTCTAGTGTTAATATGTGGTTACACCCCTTTTAGCACCCGATGGATAAATGCATGCACTAGCTTTTGGGATTTGAGCTCAGGTATCTCTTGTTTGTTACTTTGTGTTGTCTATCACATAAAATCCCAATAAAATACACTTACATTTTTGGTTGTACCATGAAAAAATGTGGAACATTTTAAGGGGTATAAAGGTACTGTACCTATGTAATATATTGTTCAAGTTTATCTGGAGATCCATCATTACTGTGTAACAGGTAGTGTACAGTATAGCTTGAGTAGTCATCATGAATGTCAGAAAATAGGTATTCTTTACTGAGCTTTTATACATAGGACCACATAGATCTGCGTGAGTTAAGTCCAGTGGCTCCTTTTGGGAAAGGTTTTTCTTATTTGATTGAATGGGTCAATTTTTATACCACTGGCATGCTGAACTCCTGTGTCCAAGAGGATGAGGCCAAGTGTGGATACAGTTCAAATGTGTTTTGTCTATGACAATGTTATGAACGTCACTGCATTTCAGCTTATACAGTTCATCTTATTTTTTTTTCCTTTGCCGTTATGTGACTTTCTTTTGTGGTGGTACAGCTGTTACCACTGAATGTCAGCACATACAGCGGGTAAAGTAAGTTATGAACACATCACCATTTTTCTCAGTAAATACATTTCTATAGGTGCTATTAACATTGAATTTTCACCACATGTTGGTAACAATCCATACAAATCATACATATAAAGAAACCAAAACAAATACATTCAGAAATCAAGTTATGTGTAATAAAATGGAATGACACAGGGAAAAAGTATTGAACACATGAAGAAAGGGAGGTGCAAAAAGGCACGGAAAGACACCAGCTGAAATCTATCAGTGATTAGCAAGCAATCCTGCCCATTGTCAGTGCAAATTAATATCAGCTGGTTCAGTCTCAACCAGGGGCGGACTGACAACTCATGGGGCCCCCGGGCAAAGGGGGTCATGGGGCCCTGTGTCCTTGTCCACACTCAAACCACACCCAAAAAATCCTATGAAAGGTACACGGGGCATCTCATGGGGCCCCCTTCTGACCCAGGGCCCTAGCGCAATGCCCAAGTTTGCAAATGGTAAGTCCACCCCTGGTCTCAACTGATGGCCCTTTAAAAAAGGTGTCTCATTACCAAAGTGTCACACAAGAAACATCTCATGATGGGTAAAAGCAAAGAGCTCTCTCAAGACCTTCGGAACCTTATTGTTGCAAAACATACTGATGGCATTGGTTACAGAAGGATTTCTAAACTTCTGCATGTTCCAGTGAGCACTGTTGGGACCATAATCTGGAAGAGAAAAGAACATCATTTCGCCATAAACCAGCCACGACCAGGGGCTCCTCTCAAGATTCATGACAAAGGAATAAAAATAATTATCAGAAGAATTGTCCAAGAGCCAAGGACCACTTGTGGAGAACTTCATAAAGACCTGGAATTAGCAGGTACAATTGTTTCAAAGAAATCAATAAGTAATGCACTCAACCACCATGGCCTGTATGTACGCTCACTATGCAAGACTCCATTGCGGAAGAAAAAGCATGTTGAAGCTCGTTTAATGTTTGCTGCACAACATTTAGACAAGCCTGTGAAATACTGGGAGAATATAGTCTGGTCAGATGAGACCACAATTGAACTCTTTTGGATGCCATAATGCACACCATGTTTGGAGGTCAAATGACACTTCACATAACCTCAAAAACACCATACCAACAGTGAAGATTAGAGGTGGGAACATCATGGTGTGGGGCTTTTTCGCAGCATACGGTACTGACAAACTTCATACCTTTGAAGGAAGGATGAATGGAAAAATGTGCCAAGACATTCTTGATAAAAATCTACCGTCACCTACCTGGATGATGAAGATACAACGAGGGTGGCCATTTCAGAAAGACAGTGGTCCCAAACACAAAGCCAAAGAAACTCTCAAATGATTTCAAAGAAAGAAAATAAAGCTTCTAGAATGGCCCAGCCAATCACCTGACTTGAATCCAATAGCAAATCTATGGAAATAACTAAAGATCAGAGTTCTTAGAAGAGGGCCACGGAACCTTCAAGATTTGAAGACTGTGTGAAAGAATGGGCCAAAATCACACCTGAGCAATGAATGTGACTAATTTCTCCATACAGAAGGTGTCTTGAAGCTCTCAATACCAGCAAAGTATTTTGTACAAAGTATTAAATGAATTTCAGGTAGCATGTTCAATAGTTTGTCCCTGTTTCATTACATTATATTACACATAACTTCATTTCTGAACATATTTGCTTTGGTTTCTTTGTATGTATGGGTTCCATGTATTGTTACCAACATGTGGTGAACATTTCATGTCAATAGCACCTTCAGAAATATATTTACTGAGAAAAATGGTGACGTGTCCAATACTTATTTTACTCGCTGTATCCTTGCATGGTGAGCTTTCTCCCTGAGGTTACTTTCTAGAGAAGGAACATCTTTGATATGTAGCTGATATGTATGCATGCATTGATGTTTTTTTCTGGTGACAGTGTGGGATAGATGGTACTGTAGATAACCTTCCCCTATTCCTTTCTGTTGTTTTTACCCATCCTAGAGAAAAAATATTTACCATTGACCATATGACTTGTGGCTCCAAAGTCAATGCACCAAATGAAAAAGGATAAGGCACCCTCTTTGAAGTGAAAGGCAACTTTTAAACAGTTTCGTAGATTAATTTGTTTTCTTATTGATTCATTTTAGCTTTAGAAATTCTGCAGTTTGCCTTTGAGTGGCTTGTTTTTTTGCACACAAGACATTGACATGTTTCACTGTGCATATTACTTTTATTGCAGTTGTTGGTCCTTAGTGCAGATTCTGCCGTAGGAGCATATTCACTGCACTTTTGTTTTTTTGCTTATATTCACCTGCAAGCTTCCCTTTAACATATTCCAGGTTAAGCTCATCATCTTGGCAAGCATCTGTAACAAGTATCTCATAGCTGTTTTGGAGACCACTGAGTAGAAGTGTTGCTATATCAAAGTTGTTATTTTTTTCCTATAGCTTGCCAGCTTTCCAACATTTCTAAGTTACTCATTATATAGTCCTGTATATGCTGACCTTTCACCAGCTTAGTTTAATTAGGTACAGTTTTTTTGTTAAGATTTGCTCTTAATTAATTTTTGTAGCTCCTCCTACATTTCTCTTGCTGTTTCACACTTGCATATGTGCACAATTGGATCGTCATCAATGTTCAGGTAGAAAGTAATTAGAGATTTTTGCTCTTTCTCTGACCATTTATCTGTAGGTGGGTTTGATCTGGGCTGCTATATACACTTTCAGATACCCTCTCCTATCAGCAACATCTTCATTTTAAATTTCTGGGACTGGTTTGTAAGAGTAGCAACTAAAAATGTTGATAAAACACTCTTAGTAGCCAACATATATGCTTTTTGACATTTTTCGTTTTCAGAGACTATTTTGCGTTGAGCTGTATTTTTATCTGCAACAGTGTTTAGCACTTTGGCTGTAGCAGGGCCTGTTGCAAAGCTGCTACATGTCAAGATACTGCTGGACACATAGTTGAACCCTAGACAGGAATCTATATCAATATTCAGGTTTTACACATACTATCACTTAGTGGCAGAACTACTAATCACAGTATAATATATAACGATGGTTCTTGGATTTATTTCTGTATAAACAGCACACTAACAATTCTGTTTTGAGGAAGGAAACCTGTGTTCAAAGTGGAACAGTTGATTCAGAACAACTAATCAGGAACTACTTTTTAAATGGAACAGAAATTTGATTGGGATGCAATGGTAGCAGTTCCTCTTTTGCTTCAGGTTGCTTTGCATCAAGATTGGAAAAGCTCATTATGTAAATATTTTTTACTGGATCTTGATATAGTAGGTTTCTAAAAGCATACAGCTTATAAGGTGCATGTTACTTGTTATTCCAATTCTGCTGCCATGTTCGTGGACTTGTAGTTACATTTTTGTTATTTCTTCTTAATGGTGGCAGCTACTGTACATAAAGTATATGGCCTAAAATAGTGGCAAAGGAGCATAAGTTACAGTTAAATAGTTTATTAAACCTTTTTGCATGTTTTTGCTTCCAGACATTGAGTCACGAAGCTGAAAGTTCTTCATATGTCTCATCAGAATTTAAATTTCCAAAGAAGCAATTCTATAAGTTCAGCATTTTTCCAGGCAAATGGATTAAAGTATGGTGTGACAGGCTTACATTGTTGGCACTCTTTGACAAGTAAGTATGTATATTAAAGACTAGGTGAACATGTATCTTCAAGCTGTATTAAAATAAAAATGTAATCTATTGAAGCTTACCAATTCTTAGATGTGGTGGCCGCATCCAGTCTGACAGGTGTAAAAGCCCAGCTCTGGGCATAGGAGAAAAAATACACGTGCAGTTGGCCATCCCCACACTACAAGGGTTAAATGCCTAGTTATGCCTGGGGTAGAGGAATAAGATGTAATATTTTACTTCTTACTCCAACAGGCCCCTTCCATCTTTATGACCAATCCTCCTCAGCCTCCACTCTAATCATTCCTGGCATGGCCACACTAAACTCCTCACATACCATGCAGGACTAATACCTGGGCATGAGGACACCAAGCGACTGAACACAGTCTGGAGTGGAGGAGAGAAGAGGAGAGCATCAGAGACTGCTGGCGTGGGAGGTAAGGTAAGTAATATAGCCTCTCCTTCTATGCTGTAGAGTAGAGTAAATAAATATTTTACTCTTTCAGTGTGGGGAGGCAAACTGCAAGAGTCGGACTGTAGCCTCCCTGGCGGTATTCCCGAGTGTAGCTCGGGGTAAAGTGTCAGCTACACTCGGGCTTACCATGCGGCGCTGCTCCGCGAACCCTCGGTCACTTACCTTGTTATGCGCTCCCACGATGTCCCTCCTGCAGTGTCCCTGGCATTGCAATCCGGCGATGCCAGCATCTGTCATCTGGGTTCCGTCCTCTGCGAGCATCGGGACGTACGGGGGGACGGGACAGAGGGAAATTTGAAAATGACAAAAAGTGACAATCACTAAAATCACATAGTAAAACATTACTGTACCAAACCATTTCACATACATTTTGTCCCGAGTGCTTTGTCCTGTGCCCTGCCTGCATTTTGACTGTTCTTTCTACCTGGAAACTGAGAAATGTCCATGGCGTCCAAAAAGTGTCCCTTTAGGTCAAAAGCGGTTTTAGACCAGCTAGAGAACAGCGATAGTAAATTAGAACTACTTGCAGAATTGAGTGATAATGATTAGTGGGGAAATTCGTCATCAGACACTGAAAACGATTTTGCAACTTTGCTCAGTGATGTGCGAACTTGGCGCTATATTTCAAATTTCAGTGTTTTTGGTTTGATTATATTATTGAATTAAATGTATTATATTATTATATTTATTATTTTTTATGATTCTTTATTAAAATATAATTTATGATTTCGTGTTTCAAGTTTTATCCTACCCGGGATGTTTACTAGACTCTTGTTCGGACAGATTTCAGTGAGTTATTCCTAACAATTACAGGCCTGCAATATAAAACGCCAAATTTCCATGCAAAATAATGGTACCGATTTCAGCACCAAAAATCTGAAATAATCATACCCGCCAGGGAGGTTAAAATCCAAGTTTCCTCTGCTTATGGGCATTGCAGACTGCTGTTGCATCCATCGGTAGTATAATTAATTTCATGAAAGTTTATGACTAGATCTCTATACTTCTTAGATTGTAAGTTCCAAGGAGCAGGGCCCTCCTATCCCTCTTGTATTGAACTTTATTATTGCTGTATTGTCTCCCGTTATATTGTACAGCTCAGCAAACTGTTGGCGCTATATAAATCCTGAATAATAATAATAGATCTCCAATACATAAGGTTTACTCAGAAGCTGGTCACAGGTCCTAGAAGCAGATATACCAATCTGGGAGAGCATGTGCAGATATGTATAGTTTGGAAAGGTGCTGCTTAATTAAAATGAGAATACATTGCACTTTAATATAAAAAGTTGCAGAGACTGCTATGGCAGAGATACTGACATGTTAAACACAACAATGTACTCTTGTTGATGGTGGACTATGAGGGTTTTTCAGTGGCTCGCATAGTTCCTTTAGTTTTGATCCTATACACGTGCTGATGTGGCCACCTACTCCTTTTATCTTCGTTGTATGCATGCCACACTTGTGCTGTTGTTCTTAAGACCTGTTATCTTTTCTGTCTTATTTGTAGAGTGTATAGGTTTGTAAAGGTCTTCTGTTTTCCAGAAGTTCATCCATGAACACACATGGCTCTAAATGCGAGTACAGCTTGATAAAAGGCTGCAGTATATTTTAGCCCGTCATAAACTTTGATGGGTGCTGCACCTATTCCTCTAGAACACGCTAAAACGCTGGGATGCATGCACAGCTACAGTAGATACCCCTATGTGCAAGAGGCATAAGCTCTCATTTACAATGGCACTGTCAAACCTGTGTGTTTATATGCATTAGAGGACATTTTTCAATGGTACCATTCACACTGTGGTGGGAGATTAGCTAAAACTGGAGAGTGCAAAATTACTATTGTTAACAGCAACATGTGTAATCAAAATGCTTAGCATATACCGTAGCTTTGTGATAATATACAAAAACATAAATCAACAAAGTGCTTAAATCCAGGAATTCATATAGAGGTACAGTTGCAAGAAAAAAGTATGTGAACCCCTTGGGATTACGTGGAGTTTTGCATGAATTGGGCATAAAATTGTGCTCTGAACTTCATCTAAATCACAACAATAGAAGAACACAGTCTGCTGAACATAATACTACACAAACATTAGATGTTGCCATGGTTTAATTGCACATAACATGTAAACATTCACAGTGCAGAGAGGAAAAAGTATGTGAGGCCCTAGCTTAATGACTTCTTCCAGAGCTAATTGGAGCCAGGAGTGAGCCAACCTTGACTCCAATCAGTGTGATGATATTGGATGTGTTGCTGACAGCTGTCCTGCCCTTAAAAAAACACACATCTGTTTTGGGTTTACTGGTTTCAAGAAGCACTGTCTGATATGAACCATGCCTCGCAGAAACGAGCTCTCAGAAGACCTACGATCAAGAATTGTTGACTTGCATGAAGCTGGAAAGGGTTAAAAAAGTATCTCCAAAAGCCTTGATGTTCATGTGTCCACGGTAAGACAGACTGTCTACAAATGGAGAAAGTTTAGCACTGTTGCTACTCTCCCTAGGCATAGTCGTCCTGTAAAAATGACTGCAAGAGCACAGCGCAGAATGCTGCATGAGGTAAAGAAGAATCCCAGAGTGTCAGCTAAAGACCTACAGAAATCTCTGGCGCATGTTAACATTTTTGTTGACACATCTACAATAAGGAAAACATTAAACAAGAATGGAGTACATGGGAGGACACCACGGAGGAAGCCATTGATGTCCAAAAAGAATATTGCAGCACGTTTGTAGTTTGCAAAAGAGCACCTGGATGTTCCACAGTACTACTGGTAAAATATACTGTGGACAGATGAAACCAAGATTGAGTTGTTTGGGAAGAACACACAACACTATGTGTGGAGAAAAAAAGGCACAGCATACCAACATTAAAACCTCATCCCCACTGTAAAACATGGCGGAGGGAGCATCATGGTTTTGGGCTGCTTTGCTGCCTCAGGGCCTGGACGGATTGTTGTCATTGATGGGAAAATGAATTCCAGAGTTTATCAAGACATTTTGCAGGAAAACGTGTGACCATCTGTCCGCCAACTAAAGCTCCGCAGAGGATGGGTGATGCAACAGGACAATGACCCAAAGCATACAAGTAATTCAACAAAACAATGGCTGCAACAGCACAGAATACGCCTTCTGGAGTGGCCCAGTCAGAGTCCTGACCTCAACCCGATTGAAATGCTGTGGCATGACCTTAAGAGAGCGATTCACACCAGACATCCCCAGAATATTGCTACACTGAAACAGTTTTGTGAAGAGGAGTGGTCCAAAATTACTCCAGATCGTTGTGCAGGTCTGATCTGCAACTACAGGAAACGTTTGGTTGAGGTTATTGCTGCCAAAGGAGGGTCAACCAGTTATTAAGTCCAAAGGTTCACATACTTTTTCCTCCCTGAACTGTGAATGTTTACATGTTATGTGCAATTAAACCATGGCAACATCTAATGTTTGTGTAGTGTTATGTTCAGCAGACTGTGTTCTTCTATTGTTGTGACTTAGATGACGTTCAGAGCACAATTTTATGCCCAATTCATGCAAAACTCCACGTAATCCCAAGGGGTTCACATACTTTTTCTTGCAACTGTATATACACTGGAAATGACACTAGGACAGAATAAAAAAGTGTCCCACATATTCATATAGAATCATATCATCTGGAAATTACACATCAAAGATGGTAGGCGTTCCTTTGCACATGGTCAGTAGCGTGTATCCGGGTCCGCCTTACTGATTTTGTCACAAATGACATCTTCAGGGACACTGGTAGGGTGGACACTTCTGAGCATGTGAGAAGTAATGTCTTCTATGTTGCTGTACCATGTGATATGCTGTGTTATTTCTGGATGTTTGTAAGTGCTTAGACTTAATACATTCCTTTTTATGGGTGGTTTTACGTTATGTGGAGTGTCTCTTTTATTATATGTGTGTCCATCCTGCTGAGCTAATTCAGAGTGATGCAGAAGTTCCCTGCAAGTTTTGGATGTATATAGTGACAACTGACAGCAAATTTTCTGGTGTCTCTGGATGAGGGGAGGCTGGAGAGAGTGCCCTTTCCCTGGGGGAATTTCACTATGCGCATGTAACCACTCTTATATAGAGGGTCGCATTATTTGGTAAGTCTTGTGTGTGGCCAATGACACCTAGGAGACCTTTTAAGTGTTTGATGGTGATGGCCTGAGGAGCTCATCCTATTTTCTCATCATGGCTTGTGGGACTCTTTTTATTTTGTCCTAGTGTAATTTCCAGTGAAAATGCCTCTATATGAATTCCTGGATTTAAGCGTTATATTGATTTGTGTTTTTGTACATTATCACAATATCATGGTTTATGCTAAGCATTTTTATTACCCATGTTGCTGTTAACAATAGTAATTGGGGGTAAGACCTATGGCCACACCACCATGACTGCGCCTGATCTCAGAAGCTATGCAGGGTTGGGCCTGCTTAGTACTTGGGTGGGAGACATTGGGGTAAGATCTTGGTGATTCATAGGATTATTTTTCATTACTATTTATTATTTTAGTTTCGGGTTT